GCCGTGGCCGGCGTGGCATCTTTTGATACACTGTGGCTGCCTCTTAAAAGTACATTCCCCTCCTTTTGTGTCCTTGTTAGTGTTTCAGTGACAACATTATAGCAACACAAAAAGCTTTCTCTGCCCCAACACACAAAGCTACTGATACCTGTGGGGCCTCTGTGGCTTTGTGAGTCTTTTAACAGCATTTATTAAGGAATCTGCATGCCAGACGCCAGGCCGAGCCTTCCCGGAGATGATTATTATAGGTCCACAAATCCTGAGGCCAGGAGTGTCTTGGAATTCAAAATGTGTCAGATTTTAGAAAGCTAATAGGGTGCATATAACATTTATATGTAACACCACCCATGGGTCTGGGACATCATTCAGTAATCAAGCACATTAATATTTTTGTCAAGAAATATATGCGTATTCACACTTAGAGGGGAAAAGTAGGTCAGACCATATTTTTCTGCCAAATGAGGTATTTATTTATTTATTTGTTTATGGCCAAATGAGTTTTATGTAAATTTCTACTTGTCCCACTTGTTGAGAAAACTATTTTTACCCACTGAATTGTTTTGGCACCCTGTCAAAATCAATTGACTATAAATGTGAGGGTTTATTTCTGAATTTTCAACTCTATTCCATTGATCTATATGTCTATCTTTATGTAAATACAATACTGTTTTGATTATTGTAACTTTGTAGTATTGTAAGTTTTGAAATTGGGAACTATGAATCCTCCAACTTCATTTTGAATGTTTTGACTATTCTGGGTCTAGTGAATTTGCATATAAATTTTAGGATCAGCTTGTCAATTTCTACAAAGAATCCAGCTGGGATTCTAATAGGGATTGTGCTGAATCTGTAGATCAATTTAGGGAGTATTGCCATTTTATCCATATTAAATCTTTGGATCTATGAACATGTAATATCTTTTCATTTACAGGTGGGGCAAAAGTAGGATTATAGTTCATATGGAAAATAATACAATAATTCATAAATAATAATATAAGAATAAACTTTGCATACTCACAACTGTAAACTTACTTTTGCCCCACTCTCTATTTGGGTTGTCTTTAATTTCCTAAAGAAGCTGAGGGGCCCTAGCTGGTTTGGCTCAGTGGATAGAGCGCTGGCCTGGGGACTCAAGGGTCCCAGGTTCGATTCCGGTAAGGGGCATGTACCTGGGTTGCGGGCACATCCCCAGTGGGGAGTGTGCAGGAGGCAGCTGATCAATGTTTCTAACTCTCTGTCCCTCTCCTTTCCTCTCTGTGAAAAATCAATAAAATATATTTAAAAAAGAAGAAGCTGAGGGAATAAAGGAAAGAAAGTATATATGCATGTTTGTTATATTGACATTCTTATTTACAATGTCTGGTTCTCTTCATTTGTTAAGTGACCACTTGGTGTCATTTTCTAGTCCAGTATAGTTTTGTTCTCTCCCATCTCCTTTGGGCTGTTATTTGCAAGTATATCACATGTCTTTATGTTACATGCCTAACAATACATTTATACACATATTGTTTCATACAATTGCTTTTTAAAAAAATATATATTTTTATTGATTTCAGAGAGGAAGAGAGAGGGAGAGAGAAATAGAAACATCAGTGATGGGAGAGAATCATTGATTGACTGCCTCCTGCAGGCCCCACACTGAGGATTGAGCCCGCAACCCGGGCATATGCCCGTGCCTGGAATTAAACCCAGGACCCTTCAGTCCCAGGCTGACACGCTTTATCCGCTGAGCCAAACTGAACTCTCCGTTTAGTTCTTTGAGCGTACTTATAGGCTACTTTGAAGTCTTTCTTTGTTAAATCTGACACCTAGTCGTTCTTACTAGTAGTTTCTGTTGCCTGTTATTTTTATTTAAATTTTATTGAAATATTTTTACTTTTATTTTTTTAAACATTTTATTTATTGAGTTTAGAGAGAAAGACAGAGAGAGGAGGAGAAACATCAATTTGTTGTTCACTTACTTATGCGTTCATTGGTTTGTATGTTCCCTGATTGGGGATGTGCCCTGACTGGGGATGGAACTTGCAATCTTGGTGTCTCAGGATGAAGCTCTAAACCAACCAGCCGCCAGGGCTGCCTTTTATTTTATCTTTCCTGTGTGGGGGTCACACTTCCCTGCGTTTTGCACATCTTGTAATTTTTTGTTGAAAACTGGAGATTTTTTTTAAAGATTGGTAAACTTTTAACAAATATGTTTTTATTGATTTCAGAAGGGAGAGGGAGATAGAAACATCAATGATGAGAGAGAATCATTGATTGGCTGCCTCCTGCAGGCCCCCTGCTGGGGATAGAGCCTGCAACCTGGACATGTGCCCTGAGGGGGAATCCAACTGAGACCTCCTGGATTATGGGTTGACGCTCAACCACTGAGCCACACCGGCCGGCAATACTGGATATTTTACTTTTTATATGTTTTTATTGATTTCAGAGAGTAAGGGATAGTGAGAGAGAGATAGAAGCATCAATGATGAGAGAGAATCGTTGATTGGCTGCCTCCTGCATCCCCTTCCGCCCCCCCAAATTGGGGATCTAGCCTGCAACCATGATCTCCTGGTTCATAGGTCACAGAGCCACGCTGACTGGGCAAAAACTGGACGTTGTTGTTGCTTTTTTTTTTTACATTTTGGCGACTGTGTGTACTGGCTCCTCAACCCCCCTGGGGCTTGTGATTTTTTTTTTTCCTTATCTATTTGTTTAGTGACTGACTGGACCATTGCAGTGACATGTCTTTCTGCAGTATGAAGTCTCTGACATGGCTCCTCAGAGGACCCAGCCTGGAACATCTACAGTCCTGGGACCTCGGGTCTTTAAGGGGGGCTGTCTTTGACTGCTTTCCCTAATCATATCCACCTGTTGGGCTCCCCCAATTGCTAGCTGCCTTCTCTATTGTTTTTGTCGTGGAGCATCAATTGCTCCATTGAATGGTCCAATTAAATTTAGGCTCCTTTAACGGGATAGCTTTTGAGTTCAGTGTTTGAGGTTTGTTTTGACCCCAGGAAGGCTCTTTTTATCTATCTCTTTACCTGGTTCTCTCTGGTAGATTACCTAGTTGTAATAATGGAGGCACCAGCCTTGGCCTATTTGTGTACCACCCATACCTTGATTGATTTTTAAATTAAATCTTTATTGTTGAAAGTATTGCATGCCCCCCCCCATTGACCTCTTCTAGTCCGCCCCTGCCCCCCACCCCAGACCTTCACCACCCTATTGTCTGTGTCCATGGGCTGACAATTAGGCTACTTCAGGAGGCGTTCTCAGGGAAATGTGCTTTCAAATATGAGGAATTCAGGTTTCCAGAACTCAGACTTTCCTATATAGCCTTGGAATGAAGAGAATCACGT